GGTTTGGGTATCTTGAATTTGGCTGAAATTTGAGATTCCTTAGATTAGGTTTTCTTTCGGCTCTAGCGGCGTCTAGAGATTTGAGAGAGATCGGTCCTCTCGAATTGAGGATCAAGTGTATCTTGCTATTTTCCCTGTTCCTTTCATCAAATAATACAAATTTTCTACTGTCTTTTGTGGTTTTGTGCAGATTTTTGTGAAGATGTTCGCTGTTTTGAGAAGATTGATAGGAAATACTGGCGATCTACACGTGTTTCCTATCAAATTGGTATAAGAGCAAGTTGTGGGACCGGTGGAGGGCTGATTTCAGCAAATTTCAGCGGTGATTAATTGCCCGGAAGAAAGGGGAATTACTGCTTTTGAAGTTCCAAATCCAGAATTTGTGATTTTACAAACTCCGGATTGTGATGGCGGCCAAAAAGGTGGATGCTCTTGAGGAAAGGCTTGAAGGGGAAATGAATCAAATCAAAACGACGGCGGAGGAAAGGATTTCTTCCATGGAAGGACAAGTCGCCGATCTCCGAGACATGATGAAGAAGATGTTAGAAATTCAAAATAAAACAGTGGCTTCCGTGGCAAGAGGGGAAGGAAAAAGTATGAATTCAGAAATTTTTAGAGAGGAAGATGAGGTGGAAATCATGGAAGAAGGAAGAAGAAGGCCCCATTTGGAGCCTGTCCAGAGGGAAGAAAGAGGGGGTGGATATGGGGAACGCCAGGAGGGATACTATAGTCGTCGATGTGCTGATTTTGAAGACAAAAGGGGGGATTTCGAAGGGGGGTTTGGGCTATGGTAGAGTAAGGGAAGACCGGGAAACATGGGGTGCACCTAACAATTGGGAGAGGAGAAATTATGGAAGAATCTGGGGCAATGGGGGCAACCAGAAGGTGAGGAAGTTGAAGATGTCCATATTCGAAGGAGAAAATGCATATGGGTGGATTTACAAGGTAGAGTGATACTTCGCCGTCAATGGGCTGACGGAGGAGGAGAAGCTGACCGCAACCGGATTGTGCTTGAAAGGAAAAGCCCTGTCGTGGTATCAGTGGAGAGATCAGATGAGGCCTATCAGGAACTGAAGGGAATTCAAAGACTGCATAATATAATGTTTCCAAATCGACTGGGGAGGAGATTTCTATGAGCAGTTCTTTTCTCTGGTGCAAGAGGGATCAGTAGCATACTACCGTGAGCGGTTCAAGCACCTGGTTAGTAGAGTGGAGCGATTATCAGATATCGTATTGGAGGGGAACTTCATGAAGGGGTTGAAGGCAGAGATTCGAGCGGCAGTGAAAGTTCTGATGCCTAGTGACTTGAAGGAGGCAATAAAGTTGGCACAGCTGGTAGAAAATCAGAAGAATCTGGATAAGGGAGCCAGGAGAAGTAGCTCAGGAGGCTCTTACAAGACTACGACCGCTCTTTTAACACCTAAGGGCCTGCATCATGCAACATTAATGAGACCACCAGGGAGAAGCCAGTAGGAGGGAGTGGGGACAACTTCAAGAAGGTCACTGAGACAGAATTACAGGAGAAGATGGCAAAGGGGCTTTGTTTCAAATGTGAAGAGAGGTATACGCCGGGGCACAGGTGTAAGGACCGAACTCTTCAGGTTCTTATTGTTTGTGATGAAGAAGGAATGGAGGGTGTCGTCTTTCCACCTTGCGGACAAGGTGGATCTTTGGGAGGGGAGTATTGTTAGGCCGGTCCACTGGACCGGACCAGTCAGTCCAGGCGGGACCGGCTTAAGGGCGAAACAACGGAATTTTTTTGCCTGGGCGAGGCCGCGCGAGTTGCTAGCCTTGCAAGAGCGTTTTAGGAAGGATTTTTGAGGAAGATTAGGAGGGAAATTGAATGTAGGGACTGTTTAGGGAATTCTTTTGATTTGTATGCATTAAATAGTTTGTTTTCCTAGGGTTTGGGTATCTTGAATTTGGCTGAAATTTGAGATCTCTTAGATTTAGGTTTTCTTTGGGCCTAGCGGCGTCTAGAGATTTGAGAGAGATCGGTCCCCCTCTCGAATTGAGGATCAAGTGTATCTTGCTATTTTTCGTTTCCTTTCATCAAATAATACAAATTTTCTACTGTTTTTGTGGTTTTGTGCGGATTTTTGTGAAGATTTTCGCTGTTTTGAGAAGATTGATAGGAAATACTCGCGATCTACATGTGTTCCCTATGATATACCTCTTATGACCATCCTTAAAAAGTTGAATATTCAAGAGATGTTGATAGACCAATTTTATTGCCTCCATGAAAATTAGACTTTCAAGAAAGAGCTTTTACATAATTCTTAAAGAGAAGAATTATGTCAGCTCAAAGAGAGTTGCTAGTACATGATATGTGCCAAATATAATTCAAGATTAAAAAAACTACAAAATTTTGAATTATTTTAGGATTTTAATTAATGCTAAGATTTTCTTTATTTTTAATATGATTATGGGATTTTTATGACTTACAGAGGATCGAGTTCAAATTAATTTAATTTTAACTTATAACCCTATTGTTATAAAAAGGATTTTAATATATTTCATATTGATAATGAGGTTTAAATGAAACAATAAGGATTCCCTCTTCTCTTTATCTTTCTTTCTCCATCAAATTCCTTTATACCCATAAGATTCCTTTCTCTCTCTTCTAATCGAAAATCCACTTCACACTCTTTTAATGTACACAATTTTTTAGGCACTCAGCGATGGAACTTCTCCTAATAGGATTCCATAGGTATTTCCTTGATTCCTCTCTCGCTCCTTTCCATATTTAAACTTACTCTCTCCTCGCTACTATCATCCAAGGGTTTCAAGGAAAAATTCAAGCACAGTCAAGCCACTTATGAGAGAAGGAAGAAAATATCAAGTAGCTGATCTAAGGTGATCTTCCAAAAGGTCCAACATCAAATTGACATGATATCAATTCCTTGCCTACATTAGAAAGAGTCTGAGCAGGATGAATTTTAATCTAATGGAGATGGAGACAATACATAAATGAAGAAGAGGATTATGAACTATACATGCACTTTGATCATTAATGACTATAAATAACCCCATTTATTTTAAGTGTTGGATGTTTGAATTTAACTTCATGCCATTAAAATATGACATCAATTGTTTCATTTTTTAAATTTAATATCATATTTATTTGTTAATCTACACATTGCACAAATATTTATTATCATATTTGATTTCTATGAATTTTAAACTAGTAATAATTTGTAGAAAGAGTTTTAAATGTGCTCAATGAGCTTCAAATCAGGAAGGCACTCCACACCTTTTTTTTTCCTCTAAATGTTATTTAAATCATTAAATTAATTTATTTTATTGAACCTTAATATAATTTATTTTACCTCTACAAACCCAACATATGCTTTGAATATACTCATGTATAGTTTTAATAATGTATGGCACATCTAATTGAAAATTGTACATTTATATCATTAACCTTGGCTACTTAGGGGCTTTTTGATTGGCTGAAAAATATAATAGTGTAAAATGGATGCATTATATTTAAATTACTTTGGAGTTGTATAGATGGGTATAAAATAAATGAAAGTGGTTTTTTTTTTTTTTTGCTTGAAGTAAATTGAATGCAGTGTAGTCCAAAGATGATGGTTGACGGTGGTGAGTGGTGGCGGTGGCCGGCGACGGTGTTGGCGATGACCGGCGACGGTGTTGGCGGTGGCCGGCGACGGTGTTGGCGATGACCGGCGACGGTGTTGGCGGTGGTTGGCGACGGTGGTGGCCGATGGTGGAGGTAACCGACGATAGGCAATGGAGGTGGTGGAGATGAGTGACGACAATGAGAGAATGATGACTAGCTGATGCAAGCAAAAATTTGGAAAAAGCCCCAAATTTTTTGCAAGCAAAAGAAAAGACTTCCTAGATAAGTAGAAAATTACATAAAATACCCAAAACTAGACAAAATACGACTTATACGACAAACAACAAACTTTAATATTATGAAACGACACTTCTTGATGCTTACAAACATATGAAATAAACAACACCTAAAACTGCATTTCTTGTCAATTGAGAAGAAGGATACAAGTGGAAGGGAACTTGCGGATAGAAGAAAAAGGTAAGAAGTCTGAGACGAAGGGAGGACAAGCTCGCAAGCTTTCCTAGAAGAAGAGGAAGAGGTGGAACAAGCTCTCAAGCTTTTCCAAGAAAAATCATCAGTTTTTTCTATTCCAAAAATCAGCATACATCACTATCGGCGGCAAGTGGTAGGTTTTTTTTTCAGTTGGGGAGGTATCAGCGGGCGACGGCGATGATAATGAATTAATGGCATAACTGGAAATCGTCCAAATTGAACAAATTCTATATACACCAAAGTTGAACTAGATGTTACATTTCAAATACATCAAAATTTTAAACTACATTTATTTTACATCAAATCAAACATCAAAATTCTCAAAATCCTTACATTTGGAATACTTTACAACCATTTTACTTGAAATCAAACATCACTTAATGTATGTTGGATGCACAAAAAGCATAGGCAGATCAGATATGTAAGTTACGAGTGCTATTATTTCCAAAATTCCCCACTTTGCTTGAATGTTGTGTGCTTGAGCAATAAAAATCATTGCGTGTCACGAGAGATTTGTGCTTTGAAGACACTGAAGTGCACTAGTGTAAGATAATATAGAAACATATATAACAGCGTTAGGCATAATTTTTACACAAAATGCTATGCATACTAATAAAGTGAAAATAAATTGACAAAATTTTGATAAATAGAAATAAGGAAATCTATAATATGCCATCCATTCTAGTGAATACAAAACAAAACAGAAGTGGCGTGGATTTGCAGTCAGATGACTCAATGGCAAGTATAAGATACATAAAAAGACCTTTTCCACTGGTTTTACACTGCTAAAGAGATACAACCAGAAAATATGGCGGCAAAAAAGTACTACGGCTTATATGCAACTAATTCTTCAAATAACCTACCGCCAACATTACTACATGTCTCTAACTTTACATAAACCATTTATATCACAAAAGATACTCACATCAAGACGCTGAACTTGGGTAAGATTACCATGAAGCTCTGCAGCTTTCAAACCAGCTAACCCGAATATTATCTTTAGTCGATGAGCTGCCTGCTTAGTTCCACTGCAATTAAAAGAATAAATCAATAAGCACAAAAATTAACATCATACACATAAAAGCATCAGATCACTTAAAAAAATAACACGCAAAATATGATAAAAGAATGAATTTTAAAAAACCAGATCTCCTAATATAAAGCAAACAGGGTGACATGAGTTTTAGGGTAGGTATAAGAGAGGAAAATAACTGCAAGTATTTGGCATCTTCTTTTGAAAGAAGCAAATACTAATTTAATCATTAAACAATGAAGAAATCTACCACATATGCTTCAGGTGCAAAAGTAAATAACATTTTCTGCCTTAACAGTGGTGCATCAACTGTTATTAAGTATACAGGAGCTAATGATCAAGAAATCATGGTAAATACGCCACATACTAGCAAAGAAACAAATATTGGAGGAAACAATAACATTCCCATTTCAATTGGAAGATACCTGAAAACAATCACCTTCTCTGTGAAGGTCTTGGAACATAGTGCAAGTAGAACAGCCTCCTGGTTTGCTTCACGTATTCGCCTTATCCTAACTATTCTGCGCATGAGAGAGCCTGTTAGTCATTAGAGTTACATAAATCACATTTAATACTCCTAATAGAAGAAGCTTTATAAAATTATCCAACATGCATTATCAAGATTTTAAAAAAATCGCTGAACCAAATTACTAAGATTCAAAACAAAAATATATCAAAGCAAACTCATGTCCAGGAAGGCAGGATGTAAAGGACTAGTTTGTCTATTTACTGTAACGTACTGCCAGAATGTTACAGGTAATCATAGTCACCAAAACTAGACTGATTTAATTGGCCAATTACAAGAAGTCATGTCAGGCCATAACTAATCTGAATCCAGCCCATTTTCAATTCTTCTCAGGTTCATTTTTAATCATGAACGCGTCTTTCTTTAAAAAAAAAAATGAATTATTTTATTAGGTGTTTATGTTTTCTTGCATAAGAATAGGTTTAATATGCATGTTTATCAGGATGAATATGACTAGATTTGCTTTCAAATGTTTAACCTTATCCCTTAATCAAGACTTCTTTCCTTCACTTCACGAAAGGGTACACCATGTATGAATATGCACATGTGAAGTTTTCTTTATTATGCAGAAATGGTGGGTTGTACGACGTAAATTAATGTGGGATCATATAAGACTGAAACTTCTTTTGCGTATCCAAAGAGGCTTTATGCCCCATATCGTCCTTATGTATTTCTACAGCTTAGAGTCAACCAAATACTAAAAGTCAACAAGGGTCATCAAAAGAAGACCACTAATTAAATAACTATATGCATAAAATCATAAATAAAAATAATTTGAAAATAAAAAAGGAACCTGAAGCATAGGTCATTCAATATAAATCAAAAATATGAAAAACATAAAAAGCATACTCCTCTGTCAATGTCGCTGGTCTTTTTGTTGAGGGATCAGCCTGTAAACGCACAGGCTTATTAAGTGAGAGAATGACAAGTTGATCAACTTCTTCAGTCATAGTAGCCGAAAAAAGCATTGTTTGTCTCCTCTTCGGGCATAAGCGAATCTAAAAATAAAATCAACATCAACGAGAAGGCAGTTGTTTACACTCCACATATTGCTCAGAACAAAGCAAAGCAGCCATAATATCCCCCACATATTCAACATGGAAATAATAAGGAACCGTAATTATGTTTTCAACTGGTAGATAAGAGTAAAATTGTAGAAATACCAATTCTTGAATTTCACCACTAAAACCTAGTTCCAGAAGACGATCCGCCTCATCAAGGATTAGAACGGCAAGATCTTCTAGACCAACCGACTGGGAATTCCTCAAATGATCTATAATGCGCCCTGGAGTTGCTACAACAATGTCAGGCATAGATCTTAGAGCAGCCTCTTGAACCTGCAAATTCAAAAAGCATCACCATCTAACATGAACACAATACTGAAAATATGATCAATGAAAGAGAAGAGTGTAGTGAAATGAAATAGAGTTGTCACATAAAATTCACATAGCTCCATGCTGTGATCTAAGAAAAAAAGTTGCAGCTTAAAATCATTCAAGCACAGACATTATAAGGGACACTGGGCATGATTTTATATGTTTAAGAGATATGCTAGATTCAAATTGATATACATGTAAAACAAGCATTCATTGTATTCAATTGATTGCAAATTTATATATACACACATACAACAACAACAACATCAAGTATTTATCCCACTACGTGGTGTCGGCTATATAAATCTATTTTTCTCCAATATATATATATATATAGAGAGAGAGAGAGAGAGAGAAATGAAGTTTCCTAGCTGTAATATCTCGAACCTAGGGTTCGACAATGTGAAGGATACGAAGAAGATAAAGCGAAAGAAACATGTTTTCGTTACCTGGAGTTGCAGGTATACGAAGAGGACGAAGAAGGTGAAGGAGTCAAAGGAGTCGTCTATCGAATACAAAGCAAGTGCGTCACTTGGCATCGCCTGGAAGCCGAAGGAGTTGAGGAAGTCGAAGGCGATGAGAAAAATGAAGAGGCACTCGGGAATGTTTTGACCTTATCGTATCGTGAAACCGAATGGTCTAGAAGTTGTAGAGTTTTCTCCCGACGGTTGGAGTCGCAGAGGCATAATATAAGGAGGTGAGGAAGCCGAAGGGTTAGGGTTGAAATTTAATCTACTGCCCGACCGTCTTTTCTCACCTCGTTAATTCGAGTCTTCGGGTCGGGTCGTGACACTAGCATTATCCAAGTATTAACTGACATAATATCCATAAAATAGTACGATAAAAGTAATTGTGCTTCTAACTTAAAGCAAACTTGCCAAAACACTAATGAATCAACGTTTCAGCGAAGTTGCCAAAACACTAATGAATCAACATTTCACAAAGATAATTGGAAACAAAAAGCATAAATATTAAAAAGGAATAGCAAAAAAGATTAGATGCTATGCTTCCTTTACAGGAAAAGTATCAAATAATTTCTCCACTCAAGAAAGAATTTCCCTTTTGCACATGATGGGGTTAGAATGATAAGTAAACATGATGCCTAACCTTAGATGAAAGCCCTCCAACAACAAGACAGCACCTTATATCAGTGAATTGAGAAAGCTTCTCTATCATACTATGAACCCTGCATTACAAAAGATACCTCAAGTTTATTGATTTTTACCTAAAATCTTCAGAAATCACAGGAAATACAACCACCATTAAATATAATAATGAAAAAGGAATTTAAAAAGACCCGCGATAAATGACAGCAATTAGCTGGGAACTAGTAATTATGTGATCGAAAGAAGAGGAAATGAAGGTTAAATTTAAATTCTTGTTATGCTTTAGTGCCAGTACGTTAACATATCATGCCTCTATATCCCTGCATTTAAATACCATTTTTAATTATGAAGTATTTGAAAACCATACAACAGCATTGAACTCGAATAGAAATGTTAGATAATTCAGAAACATACATTAAATGTTAAATCATCCATTGAATTTCCTACCCATAACTAACTAACCAGCAACAACAACAACATCAAGCCTTTGTCCCACTTCATGGGGTCGGCTACATGAATCCTTTTTCGCCATTGTGTCATGTTAAAAGTCAACTACCCAAAAAAATAAGGCAACTACCCATAACTAACTAACCATAACTAAAAAAGATAATTGTCCTTGTTCTAAGATAAATATTTTATTAGAGTTTTAATAAAGGATAATTAAAATTTATTTTAGAATTTATTAATAAAAGAATATATGAAGTCGTAATAAATTAAATTATGATATAAATTAGATTTAAAATAACAACATATTTAAGAGTTAACAATAATTTATATAGAAAATGAAGGTATATTTTATTAGTTTTTTAAATGGAGAAATTATCAAATATAGAAAATTTATTTTAGAAATTAATTAAATTATGATTTTCTATAATAAAGTGGAGAGAATAAATTATATTGAAAAATAATAATATTAATAATAAATATTAAGTGTTTTTTATAACTAATTAAATAGATATGATTAGATATATAAGTTAAAATAATCATATGAAATCATATAATATGATAGGTGTCATTTTATTGAAGTCAGATCAAGGACATTAAGAGCAAGCAATCCTAGTCAAAGTGAGTAAGTATATTTCTATGTTATGGTAAATATATTGCTTCTAATTACATTGCAAGTTATTTACTTTACTATTTTTTTAACTGTATTGAAAATGATTCATCTCTCGCATATTAAATGATTTACTTTATATTACTGTATAAAGCATAAAGTAAAACTGTAAAAGAAAGTAATATTAATGAAATAACTAGAAACATGTGATTGTATGTGCATGTTGACTGATGGAGCTCACCCCCTTATGGTATTGGCTGGGGACGCAATGTATCCATGCACATTAATGAAAAAGATTATGGAAATGAAAAAGGAAAAAGAGTACCTTCATCGGTATTAAATTAGAAGGTGACACCTGAGACAGCTGTATTATTAAAAAAGGATAAAGATATGATATATTTGACAAATATGATGTATGCACGTTTTGATATGAAATGATTAAATAAACTTATTTTATGCTCATGCATATTGTTATTGTAAATTAGAAGCATGTTTTACTCACTAAGCTATAGCTTACTCTTTGTTGTCCTAACATTTTCAGGTATAATTTAGTATAATCAAAATGAATAGAAGAGGTGAAAACGTATACCGTAAGCTAAACGCTCCAAATAAAAGGTATTTATGATATTTTTTTTAAATTATGAGGTTTTAGCGGCTCTTTCAGTTTTGAGATAGTTTTAGATTAGTTGAAATTTAATCTACTGCCCGACCGTCTTTTCTCACCTCGTTAATTCGAGTCTTCGGGTCGGGTCGTGACACTAGCATTATCCAAGTATTAACTGACATAATATCCATAAAATAGTACGATAAAAGTAATTGTGCTTCTAACTTAAAGCAAACTTGCCAAAACACTAATGAATCAACGTTTCAGCGAAGTTGCCAAAACACTAATGAATCAACATTTCACAAAGATAATTGGAAACAAAAAGCATAAATATTAAAAAGGAATAGCAAAAAAGATTAGATGCTATGCTTCCTTTACAGGAAAAGTATCAAATAATTTCTCCACTCAAGAAAGAATTTCCCTTTTGCACATGATGGGGTTAGAATGATAAGTAAACATGATGCCTAACCTTAGATGAAAGCCCTCCAACAACAAGACAGCACCTTATATCAGTGAATTGAGAAAGCTTCTCTATCATACTATGAACCCTGCATTACAAAAGATACCTCAAGTTTATTGATTTTTACCTAAAATCTTCAGAAATCACAGGAAATACAACCACCATTAAATATAATAATGAAAAAGGAATTTAAAAAGACCCGCGATAAATGACAGCAATTAGCTGGGAACTAGTAATTATGTGATCGAAAGAAGAGGAAATGAAGGTTAAATTTAAATTCTTGTTATGCTTTAGTGCCAGTACGTTAACATATCATGCCTCTATATCCCTGCATTTAAATACCATTTTTAATTATGAAGTATTTGAAAACCATACAACAGCATTGAACTCGAATAGAAATGTTAGATAATTCAGAAACATACATTAAATGTTAAATCATCCATTGAATTTCCTACCCATAACTAACTAACCAGCAACAACAACAACATCAAGCCTTTGTCCCACTTCATGGGGTCGGCTACATGAATCCTTTTTCGCCATTGTGTCATGTTAAAAGTCAACTACCCAAAAAAATAAGGCAACTACCCATAACTAACTAACCATAACTAAAAAAGATAATTGTCCTTGTTCTAAGATAAATGAAACAAAAGATGCAGTAGAACTAGCTCTACACAATGCTAGATGTTTAGGCAAATATGAGATGGGTATATGCATCATAAGCTATCTTGCATGGGAGATATATTTCAACCATGGTTTTCAAAAAACATTGAAATCAATTTGGATCAGCTATTTCTGATCAATTTTGCCTGAATGCCATCCAACCGCAAGCTGGCATTTGTTTCCTTGTTGATATTCTGAATTCTGATATTATCTTATTTATTTCATCTGCTAACAAACATTTCTTTGTTCCACTGCCTTTGGGTTTCAAACCAGGGATTCCAAGTTATATACAAGAGTAAAAAACGGCACTATGCCAACAATTTCTCTTGTTAGATAAAGGTTGAAGATGAAATTTCAAGTAAAACAGTTTTGTAAATTTTTAAACTGATATCAAGTATACATCCTCTTATAAAACCATAATAATCCTTAAAAAATTATAAACCAAAATGAAAATTAAATAGAAAAAACTCAAAATAGCACCAAACTATTCGTTTATGACCAATTTAGTAACAGAGTATCACGTTGCCCCAAGTTAGTCCCGCCACCCTACAAAATTGATCCAAAATAATCCCTCATGTTGTAATTGTGACATAAAATTGACCCAAATTTAGTCTATCAACATTACAAAATTGATCCCAACTTAATCTCAAAGGGACCATTTTGGATCAATTTTGTATAGTCGAGGGACTAACTTAGAGCAACGTTATAATCAAGGATTAGGGAATAAAATGATCATATATTCATATATGAATAGTTTGGGGACTATTTTGAAACTTAACCGAAAATAAATAATGTGATATTATTATAACTCATAAATACCAAAAGGTATTACTACAAAATATAGGATACACAACTAATAAGTTAAAAATGAAGTTCTTAATCGTCATCCAAATTTATTAATAAAATATATGATAATTTAAAAGTTCATAATTTATTGTTTATATAATTCCTTTTAGATGTCTTAATGTCTAAAATTTTTGTAAAATCCAATGCGAGAATAATCTTCCCGCTCTAAAAAAAAACTTTACCAAATTGGAAACTAATATTAAATGTAACAATCCACAAAAAGAGAGGTTGCCCAAAGAAAAAAAGTAGTCATTTATTCAAAACTATTAGTGCTCTAATCTATATAAGGAATGTTCTGAAATATTATTGGGAGGAAACGAGTTCAATTGCTACATTCCTAGTAAATCATTTTCATGGTACAATTTAGAAAGCAAAACACCAATCGAAACCCTCGCCATTTTTTTTTTTTTTTTTTTTTAAGCATAAAAACCCCATTTTTATGGTTATAAAACACTCATTATTTCCACTAAAAAATGATTAAGAGTGTTGCATGTATCAATCAATACCATCAAAACACTAAACTAGATCCAAAAGCCAAAAGATACATCTTCATTGGATTCAACTCAAAAAAGATATAAATACTACCATCCCAATACCAAAAAGGCCTTAGTCTGCCGAGATGTTACATTTCGTCTTCTTCACTTCCCCCGACCTTGACGGGCAACATGAAGGTGTTGTTGGAACCATCGAAGATCGAAGGAGTGCCCAAGAGAGCAGCATGAAGCAAGTGTTGATCATGTGGAAGAACCTACCAGAGTACGAGACCACGTGGGAGTCCTATCAGGTTATTCAGCAGCCATTCCTTTTATTCCACCTAGAGAAAAAGGTGGCACTTTTTGGGAGGAGTGTTGATATGAGAAAGGGCGGCTCAACCAGCTGATCCAACAGAATTTTACAGAAGCAACATTAGGGGTTTCAGCCCCCCTTATGGGGCCCATCAAACCTATAATTCCATATGTAGGGAAAAGGAGTAAGGAAGGAATTAATGTGGGGTTTGAATTCAAATAGGATAAGGAGATATTTAAGGAAAGTTTCCTAATTGTGTTTAGGATGGTTTTTTTTAATTTAGGAAAGCTTCGTAATTGTGTTATTATATATTAAGAAGGATTTTATTTAAGGAGGTTTTAATTAGGAAGTTCCCAATTACGTTCTTTTGTGTTGTAGCTATATAAGCAGGGGTTGTCTAGGGTTTAGAGCATGCTTTTAAGTTGGATTTTCTGCTGTAGTTTTACTTGGAGGCTTCCTAACGGTGTCTAGGTTGTTTAAGAGAGCCGATCTACCTTTCGAATTGTAGATCACATGTATCTTGTTATTTTTATTGAAGTTTTATTAAAAAATTAATTTCCGTTTTCGTTTTTACAACAGTTTTTATACTGTTGTTTGCTGTTTTTGCTTCCACACATATCACATTGCTGACTAATGCACATACAACTTTGCGTCATGTATAAAAATAATTTTATAAAAGAATACAAGTTTCACCAAATTAGTCAAATGGAAATAAGAGTAACATAAGTTGGCTTACTGAACAGCGAGCTCCCGAGCAGGAGTTAAAATTAAAACCCGGGTTGCATGAATGTGCTTTGGCCGGAAAAGTAAACGCTCCAACACAGGCAAGGCAAAGGCAGCTGTCTGAGTGGTGAAAACAAACAAGGTAGAAAATTACACATTAAACTTAGATGTGCGTACAAATAAACATGCATATCAAATAAAAAAGGTACTAAGAGAATAGGCGAAGTTCCAATGATCACCTTTCCAGAACCAGTTAAAGCACTACCACATATGTCACGACCAGTTAAAGCTAAGGGGATGCATGCAGCCTGCATGAAACAGATGGAATAGCTTAAGTTAAAAAAATAAATAGTGCTGACAAGAATTATTTTGATTGCCAATGATAGGCGTAGAAATCACTATGCTCGTAAAATAATCATATTAAACCAATGTAGGATATCGCAATGTGCCTTTAATCATCAAATACATCATAACACTAGAGTTGGTTTATAATGAAGAAAACCTGAATTGGAGTTGGTTTATGGTACCCCAAGGCTTCACATGCCTTAAGTAGAGGGCGTGACAAATTAAGCTCAAGAAAAGAATTTGCATGAAACGAGGCTCCTTCAGCTGATGCAAAAAAATCAGTGGAGGCAACGACAGAGTTTTCACCGTATTTGTTTTCAGATGCAAGACCTTCCTGATAGAAAATCATAAAATAAACAACCAGTCAAGGAAGAGCCAAAAAAAAGAACACTCAATTTGTACAAAAAATGTACGCATGCATAAAGATATGCATCTAAATGCAAATTTGAATGCATGCATTGCAAAAAGAAAAAGCAGAAGTGGATACTTAAAGTAGTAGCGTTAAGAAATAAGCAAAACAACAATAAGCTATAAAGGTATGTTCAAATAACATCTAAAAATGATCAAATAACCAACCATAAATGCTTCAAAATATTCGTCTCTCAGAAAACAAAATTCACAATGAAGTTCCAAGCATATTTATTGGACCCCTGGTTACTCATATTGTAAGGTGATTAGTAATATAATCAACAAGTTCCCATATTCAAAATAGAGATAAATATTAGCTATCCAATATCCCTTTATAAAAATAGGCAAGCTTGAAATAGAATCAATCTGCGCACCATAATAAAAGTTGTACTTAATCATGTTTTCATGGATGCTTGAGGAAAACTAAGCCCATTTTTCTTTCCTCAATTGTGAACATGTATTTATCAATTGTTGTACCCAACAACAACAAAAACAACAAACCTTTATCCTGCTACGTGGGTCGTCTAGATGAATCTTTTTTTTTTCCATTACCTCCTATTAAGAGTCAAATTATCGTTTAAATCTAATAAAAATGATCATTCTTAATACTTTCTATGAAACTCTTTTTAGGTATATCTCTGCCTTTCTTAACATAGCTATATTTCTTAACATAGGTCAGATCTAATACATCTCTCCTAATAGGTTCAGCAAAAGGCCGACGTTTTATATGACCTAACCATCAAAGGCAACTCCCTATAATCTTATTTATCACTGTAGCTACTCCAACCCTCACATATATACTCGTTTTGCATTCTATCTCTAAGTGTAAAGCCACTCACCTACGTGAGCATCCTCATCTCTGGCTCACTTAACTTAATTTTATACTTCTCTTTTAATAGCTGACATTCTGCAACATAAAGCATTCTAGGTTTCACTGCCAACTTATAAATTTCTCCCTTAAGTTTGAGGGGTACTATTATATCACACAACAGACCTGATGCATTTCTCCACTTCAACTACCCAACTTGAATTTGGCTAACAATATCTCCATTTATTACACCATCGCTTTGAATAGATCCGAGATATCTAAAACATGCACACTTTTTAATGGCTTGATCACACAATGTCATAATCCCATCAATAGATCTATTACTACTAAAATTATACTCCATGTATTAAGTTTTAGATATACTCAAATGAAAACCTTTAAAATCTAAAGTTGACCTCAATAATTCAAGTTTTCATCAACTCCATATCTAGTATTATCAACCAGAAGAATATTATCAATAAAAAGCATACGTCAAGGTACATCCTCATGTAAATGTGTAGTAAGAACATCCATTACTAAAGCAAAAAGATATGCTTAAAGTGATCCTTAATATAATCCAATTGAAATAGGAACATATTTGGTCAAACCACCATATGTTTGAACGTATACATATCCTTAATGATTTGAGCATAAACATTATTAACTCCTTTTTTTTCTAGAACTCTCCAGAGAACTTCTCTTGGATCTTTATGATATGCTTTCTTTAAATCAATAACTAATATACATAGATCCTCCTTACTCTCTCCATATTTCACCATCAAACCTCTCAACAAATGTATAGCTTCTAGTAGACCTAACTGACATAAATATAAACTAATTTTGGGAAACAATAGTATCACATTATAACTGATGCTTAACTATTCTCTCCCATAATCCTAATGCAAGACATAATAACTTAATTCCTCTATAATTCGCACACACTTGTGCATAACCTTTATTCTTAAAACTACGAACCAACACACTCCCCCACTTGTCTAACATCTTTTTAGTCTTCAATAATATTAAAAAGTTTAGTAAGCCAAGAAATCTCTTGATCTCCTAAGTATTTGCACACTTCTATTGTAATATCATTAGATTCTACTACTTCTCCACAGTTCATTTTCTTTAAAGCATTTTCAACTTCAATTTTACTAATATGATGATAAAAATAAAAATCCCTCTTCTTTTAAGGAGCTAAAGTCACAAAAGTCAAACATATATTCTCAAAATCTTCATTGAAAAGTTTATTGAAATATCTCATTCATCTATGTTAAATATCCTCTTCTAAATATAATAATTTTTTTATCTTCATCATTAATACTCTTCACTTGAACTAAATCTTTTATATCTGATATCTCTTTGCTTGACTAATATATATATATATATATATCATTGCTTAAAATTGTGCAATATAAGGCCCGCCTCAGTGCAATTCCAATGAAAAACACCTCAAGGCTTATGCCTCTAGCAATTTTTATGAGGCTTGCGCCTTAGCTTGGCTGAGACCTGACTTGAGTCAAAAACCTCCAAAAAGAACCTCCCGGGAACGCATTAGATATTTACTGGGTCCGTAAAACTCACTAGGATAAGCGGTATTATTGAACCAGACGAAACAAAGACAGGGAACGGGTTACCTACTCCTAACGGTCAAAGCGAGCCTTCAATTCTTCATGAAAGAATGAAGAATGAATCAAATCTCCCCAAGTAGGATTCGAACCTACGACCAGTCAGTTAACAGCCAACCGCTCTACCACTGAGCTACATGCCTCACCTCACTAGCATGGCTACGCCTCACCTTATTTATATATTATTTTTTGTTACAACTAACATAAATCACGCCTTCATGCACATTCGAGCCGCAACAACTTCCTCTTGAATGCCTCTACATCCAGCCCATGGCCTTCGTCGCAGCCAAAACCGTCGTAGTCGTCACCGGTGATCACTTGAAAGCAGCAAACCACCACCTTAAAAATTTTGGAGTATTAATCTCATCTTTATGTTGATGAAAAACATTTATAAAAGATGAACATAATGAAAATAAATTAAGAAGAAACATATTGGGAGGAATTCGACTCCACCGGATGAGATAGAGGATAGACCAATTTGTTATGGCAACAACTCAAATAAAGACCATCTCAGTAATGACAGTACTCTTATAATATTTGGATTTCAATTCTATTTCACGTAATTTATTATTTGTCATTTTACATCTTGTGTAATTTTTTGTTTCATATTTATGCAAATTTGTTAATTCATAATTTAATAGAAAGTTCGTATGTCATCATTTAACATATTATTTAAGTATTATATAAAAAATCACTTTTGACCTTTATTTTCAATTTACGCAATTTTTTTTTATTTTAAGGCTTACGCCTCAAAACATCTTGAGGCTTACGCCTTGCCTCATGAACAAAAAAAGGCTCAATACCTGACTGCGCAAGTTTTAAACCTTAATATCTAATCTATTATGGAAATCACTAAAAGCTAAATTTTTTATATCACATATTGCTTCTTTAATATATAATCACTGATTTAACACTATCATTATCGGGTCTCAAGCTCATAATGAGAAAAATAGAGGGTTGTATTAGTTAGTCGACAACCAGTCTAAATTTTATCAAACAATCACAACATGAATCCCTTGTCAATGTACCTGTGAAGACAAAACCATTTTTCTTACAAGAAAAAGCAAAAAATAATAGATTTAAGAATAAAAAAGCCCTCTCTAGCATAAATGTGATATGAAAAGACCCATTTACATGTTATACACTAGAACATAGAATCAAATATGTTTGACATTGCGATAGGCCCTATTGTATAGACAGGAATAAAACAAAAGCTAAAAGGAACATAAATAAATGCACCTACATACGGTAAACATCTAGAGGTGAACCAACATTAAAGCAGCATTACATCTCCTGATACTACAAATGCATATTCTTACAAAATCATGGCATACATTTTTCAACTGCCAGAAAACTCAATACTGAGCCTAAACATATTTTTCATTGAGTCTCAGAATACAACAATAATGACCAGACTAATAATACAGCTGAATGAGGATAATTGAATAATTCAACAAAATTATAAAAGAATTGATTCAAACGCAGCTTATTATAGGTATTTTAAGTTTCTTGATATGCAGCAGTCACCTTAACATAGCATGTAAAGGTTCAGAAATAAAATAGAAATAGAAGTAGGTTAGAACTCATGAAATTGAGGGAGATCAGTTTTCATTTCAAAAATTTCAATGAAATAGAAAACATAAGATGAATTGCATCCACTTTGGTAAGAACAAATTCATGTGAACAACCCATTTGAACATTTTTAACAACTGGATGATGAGATTACCTAATGGATTACAGATTTATACCTAAAGCATCCTTTTTAAATATGAAAAGGTCCTAATAAGATGTCCTGTTCATCAATTAAATCATATTTCAAATAAGATTTATTTTAAATTTTTTAAAATAAGAATTATTTTTCAAGTACCAAATGCCAACTGCCTTGCATGATGCATAATAAATTGATGTTATGCAAATCATCCAGCCAATATGACTAGCCCAATTCAAACTTAAAACATGTTGCATCTTTGCATCAGGAATGAAGACATTATGACTTCATAATCAATCAATAATGCATATCTAATAAAGATTATTGAATTGCAGCATCAAAAATACTGCTAATTCAAGTCAGATACTAGATTTGGTTGTTTTTATATTATCATAAAGATGTTTGGAGAGAAACCAATGAATTAGTCATTTGGTTTTAACTCCCAGCACTAAAGTTATTATGAATGAAACTCTAAACAGTTTTTTTCACAAACCATGGTATTTTTATTGGGAGTCACCTCAGCTACACCAACAATAATTCTAGAGCTAATGGCATGAGGATAAATACACCTCAATTTTTCAGTTGCTGGCAAGAAACCAAAGCCAGACTTGGGTCATCTCCATCCACATCCACATCAAACACCTAAAATCCAAATTCGTCCAAGCAAATATGTATTTCACCTAAAACTCAAAGTCAGAAATCCGTCTAACCACGGTCAATAAAGTGAGGCCAATTTCATAAAAATAGGCCTTTATTCCAACAGTGGCATGCATTAAACATGGTCTCTAGAGATCACAAGCATAACAATAATGAATAAAAAGCAGCTCTCATACAAGTTATATCATCAATTCATGCTTCCATCTTCATATCCAACTTCGCAATTCAACAGAACTTATACAGCATGTTATTACGCACGAGAACCGAGAAAATAATATTATTCAATTAATTTAATCCCAAAAATAGCTATAGGGTATACCTGCTTAGGGGATTCATCCTCCACGTCATCATCTTCTTCTTCTTCGTGGTCACTTTCTCCTTCCTGTTCTTCCACCCCTTCCCGTTCTTCCACCCCTTCCCGCTCTTCCTCTCCTTTCTGTTCTTCATCTTCGTCGCCCTCCTCATCCTCTTCGCTGTCATTATTATCGTTGCCTCTTCGGTCTTCGTCTTCTTCTTCGTCGTTGTTAGGAAGCGATACAGGGCGAATTTGGAGAGCTTTTGAGATCTTGGCATCAACCGAGGTGGTCCTCCGCCGCTCGTGCTCATCATAAACAGACTCGGAATAAGATCCAAACTCCCAAGGAGATTGGCAAATTTTTTCTTCTCTATCCTGTTCCTCGTCCGAGCTTCCACCCTCGAAACAGAATTGGGGATCCATGAGCGCCAAAAGACTGCGTTGTAGCCGGATTTGAACAGAATATAGCCTAAATCTTGCAAAAAAATCAAAATGACAACTTTTCCTGTTGCTCCACCGCTTTGCAAGTAAATCCTGGCATTGCCCGGATTCAACTTAAATCCCAAAGTCTCACGAACACCGTTTTTATCTCACACGCCGGTACTCCCGCCGATTCCTACTCCAGCGAGCTCCCGCCGATGCCTTCTCCAGCCAGCTCCCGCCGGGGCCAACTCGCTTCTTCGCCGTCGAGGGTTTCGGGAAGGAGGGAGACGGGATTTGGGGGGAAAGAGAGGATGGTTAAGGATTTTAGTATTTATATTATTTTTTTATAATAATTAAACAAGATATATTAATTATATTTATTAATTAAATAAATTAATGTTATTTATTATTTAATTCGATTTATGCATAATTTATTACATTTAAATTTTACAAATTATTAATTATTCATTTATTAAAAATTTAATAATACCTAATTATGCTTTAATTAAAAATAAATTTTATAAATAATTATTAATATATAACATAGGTTTGGTTTTATTCATTTATTAAAAATAATATCTAATTATGTATTAATTAAAAATAGATTTGATAAATAATTATTAATATATAACATAGGTTTGGTTTAAGTGTTCCATAAAATTTCAACTATTTTATAAGTTAAGACAGAATAATGTATTTAAATTTTATTGGACATTTATTTGAATTTGATCCATGACGAAAAGTGAGGATATTTTGATCTAAATAGAATTTTGTATGTATACATAAATAATTTAGGAATTATTTTGAAAATTTTCTGTAATAATGCATTAAATTTCAAATTAGCCTCTTAATTATTCATATATGATCATTTTAATCGCAGAACATAATGCTGTTTCAACTGGCTATATAAATATGATCCAAAATTATCTATTTTATAATCAATTTGGTGAAATCTATGGGCCAATTTTGAATCAATTATATATCACAATTATATTTTGAGAGATTATTTTAAATCAATTTTGCATAGTTTTTGGATTAAATTTGAGCCACATAATTCTTCAAAATTAATTGGTAATATAAGAATAATTTGGGAACTATTTTTTTGTAATAATTATTATTAGTTAATTAAAAATTATTATTTAAAGTCATATATATATAGTGTGTGTGTGTGTGTGAAGCTAATTTCTTTATAATTTTCAATTTAATTTCCTATTCATTTACAATTTTTAAAATTACTTCAAATCAAGTTAGACAGAGATGGGTGAGACGGCAACGACAAACGGACTGAGGTAATTTTTTTTCTTGGTTGATTTCAGCTTAATCTTGTATTGATTCAATTGGAAAGATATTTTATAAATTTTTTGTGCAGTGAGATTTTTATTATCCCATGTTTAGTTAATATATTGAACATGTTCTAGTAGAAATTGAGTGATTTGATGATTGGAAGTCATTTTGTGAATGAAGAAAATAAGCAAATTCACTGCCAAAGTTTTATCATTTTTAAAACTAACTATACTAATCCCATGCCCGGATGTAAAAAGTTGAAGAAAATTTTTTAAAAATTTATTTTGGCCCCCCTTAAAAACACTTTCTTGCTCCGCTACTGGTGGTAATAATGAAATATATGAGTGACATATTTGATATTAAAATTACCAATGGGTGATATGCATGAAGTATAAAAATTTCGAATGTTAGATATGTAAATACCATGATATAAAGTGATATGTATGTAAATCTCCTTACATTTTAATTATATAAATTCTTAAATTACAAAACAAATAGCCAAATAATTTACCTAAATTTAATTGGATTTAACACCTATAATATAAAACCATTTTAAGGATTTGATTTCTTATAATGCCTTACAAAATATTTTTTGTTGAGCTAATATAAGAATAACCTCCATTATTTCTCTCAACATTTTTATTTGTATTTATCCATCTAAAATAATAAATTGACATATAATTTAAGATAAATAGTAATTATCAATTAGTTATATTTATGATGTTCTAGAAAATAAATGATAAAATAAATGGCGGAGTCGGAAATTTTTTTAACAGAGCCCAAAATTTATTCTGACAAATTTTCCCTCAACATTTTTCATCCGAGCTTGGACGAGTATAGACAATTGTAAAGCAAAAAAAAAAAGATCAAACACTAGTCATAATTAATTTTTCCAAATTTACAAATCATTTTTAAATCAAATAAATATTGATTATGATATATTAAAGTTAAAAAAACAAATTTATTATTTAGGCTTTCTATGTTTACTTTTAACTACTATTGATATATCATCAAAAAATTATCTTGATCTGGCACAAATCTCTAGGCAAAAATCAAGTTGGAAACTTCAAAAATTAAATTTGGGATCATCTGAACTCCAATTTCAGCAAACATATAGTCAAACTAAGCGTCTCGGAAATACGAACCCAATGACACCAAAGTCAACTCGGTCTGAGCACAAATGTGTATGATTCAAAGACCTGAAGCGCTGTTGGAAGGTTCAAACCACAATTTAAGTTGCCAAACCGTTTCCAAACATAACGTGCTTATAGTCGAATTGAGCGGCTCGACGAGACAAATCCAATGAGTTCAAGATCGCCAAATTTTGACATCATTGAGATCTTCAAATGTCTGACGAACGTTACATGATCAAGGGATTCAATATCGGCCGTCCATCGAACCACTCCACATTTGCCCCATATCTCTCACCTATTTACGGGCCATGTCACTCTATAAATCTATAAATAAACCCATCATTTCTCTTGAGAGGGGACCCAAGCAAGAAGAAGAATAAGAGAAGGATAGGAGTGAAGAAACTCCTCCTCGACTACCGCCGGAATTCTGCTCGACGCCCGAGTGAGGCCGAAATTCGGCCCGACGCCCGAGTGACACCGAAATTCCGCCGGACGCTCGAGTGACGCCGGAATTCTACTCGACTCCCAAGTGACGTCATAATTCTGCCCGACTCCCAAGTGATGCCGGAACTGCCTGATTTCCAAGTGACGTCGGAATTCTAACTGGCTTTGAATTCAGCTCGAATACACAACTTGTTTGTAATCAGATTTCAATCTAGAAGTGTAACATTGTAATCTGATCATCCTAAATTTAAGGACGAGTCAGCCTTTTGTACCTCAAATAAATACTAGTTGAATTATTTCAGCTAGGCGTGGCCCCGTGGTTTTTTCTCTTTCTAAGGTTTTCCACGTAAAAAACCTGGTGTTATTATTTCTCCCATGTTTGTGGGCTAGGTATACGTACAACGCTGAGACATAAGTTTTTCAAATCTATCGCCGCGTATATTCAAGTCTGCAACAACTATAACATTCATTTGTTTTTAAATTGTATGATATTAATAATTGGATTGATTTAATTTTGAAATTAACATGGATAAAGTGATACTGGCATTTCTACACTTTTTTTGTATAGCTTGGTATGTGATGCCGTGGATATTGCTTGGTTCATCGTCATGTTGTTAATTAGACTGTTGGATCTATAGATAAGCTTCATCATAGCATGCATTATTGATCGGTGGCAACAACGGTACAATAACTTTAATGTAAGGCATGAAATCCCTACGATTGCCTGCCCCATATGTCCACACTATTTTTTGTTATTTTAAATCCTCAATTAGACATTGTATTTTTTTTAGTGCCCCCACTCGTCCCCTCTTGAATCCACCCATTGATAAAAAAAGCATTTTATGTCTTAGCTTTGCATGAATAAGACACATATTTTTTTTTATGTCAAAAAAAAAAAAAAATAGCGGGACTTGGCATCAATGAAAAGTTAAAAAATTGACATGGGGTGGTTTTTTTTTTTCATAAATTTTTTTTAAATCTATGATACAGATTTCCAGTAGATTTTTTGTCGTAAATGATAATAAAATGAAGATGTTTATGATGGAACTTTTATGCTGAAAATACTAACGGATTTTTCGCGGAATATTCCTAAGAAAAAGCTGGTAGAACCTCGTCGAAATGTTCCACCTAAATTTCTTTTATATTACCGGTTCTTGTTGTTAATATCGACACCTCTTCTTGTTCTCAACCTTGTGTTCATACCTCCCCATCTAAGCCAATATCACATTCTTCTCATATTCATGGTATAGCTCACTCACGTGTTACTATTCTGCATGTCTTCATCAACACTTAACATTGAGACTTCATCTCCATCCCAGGCTCCCATCTCTAATCTTGATAAAGATCACATTCTCCCTAATCTAAATTTCCCCATGAAGGAATCCTCTTCCTCAGAACAAATCTCTCTTCATAATTAATCCTAAGCTTCTTTGTATTCTTGAAGCTAAAATTCTGCATAATGTGGTTACTGACCCTTGGTTTATCAACTCTCATAGGATTTTTGAGCATGAAAGTAGTTGTAACGATTTTGGTTTTTCAACCCTGGGAGGATTTGGATTAAATGAGACTCTTCTCATTTTCTCTCTCTCTTTCACCTTCTCCTCTTCACAGATCATTCATGGTACCCTATTTGCAGGCTATACTCCTCTTACTATGTTTTTTGTTATCTACGCTGCCAATTCTGCTGGAGAGCGTAAGATTCTATACGATATTTAAGGGACTTGGAACCTTCTCATGACATGCCATGGAATATCATGGGCGATTTCAATTGCTACATGTTTGATTTTGATAAGGTCGGGGTGTACCTATTTCTACTGGTAGATTGGGGGAGCTTAATAATGTGATTTTTTAATGTGGAGTCCAGGAGCTTGCTTCGATTGGTCTTTTTTATACCAGGTTTAATCAAAGGGTGGATCAATCCATTCATATAAAATTAGATAGGACTATGGTGAATTTTGCTTTGCTTGACATTTTCTTTATGGCTTACTATAAGGTGGTACCTCTTTTTGGCTCTGACCACACTCCTTTGATTTTTATGGCTAGCACTTCATATCTAATTTATACAAGGTTCATGTTAAAAAATTATTGGGTATATATGAATGGCTTTTGGGATGAGGTTTTATCTGCTTTTGTTAGACCTGATGTTGGAAGTCCTATTGCCTCTTTTTATCATTTTCTTCAAATCTTAAAGACATCACTTATAGGAAAGAACTAGGTTAATTCCAATTTTCTTTCTAATTCTATTCTGGAGTTAAAAAATTTGAAGATGGAATGCCTTGCTAATATTCAACTGCAACCCTTAGACAAGGTTTTAAATTCTTCTCTCAAAGAGATTAATGAGAAAATAGAGGTTTTACATTCTTCTTGGACTTCTTGGATCTCACAAAAGGCAAAAGCAAAATGGCTTACAAACGGTGAGAATGATTTGAGGTTCCTTTATGTTAGGATCAAAGCTAGGAGGAATAATAATGTCATTAAGGAGATTTCTACTCCCCTTGGTCATTTTAATTCATATTTTGACATTGTGGTTGCAATTGTTAATAATTTTAAGGGTCTTTTCAATTCTCGTAAGCCTATATGTGTTAACAATTTCAACATTCCTCCTGGCAATTTCGTTCCTGCTCATTTACTTAGCTCTCTGGTTGCATCGATCACTAATGAGGAAATTAAAAAAAAAAATTATTTACTCGGTCATTCGGCTTCTTCTCCTGGCCTAACGGTTTCTTTTTTGCTTTCTATAAGCACACTTGGCATATAATTGGTTTGCAAGTTTGTAATGTTGTTAAAAATTATTTTAATATTGGTTATCTTCCTAAAGGGGTCAAAACTTCTACGATTACTCTTATTCCTAACATTCACATGCATATGATATATCAGATTTCAGACCGATTTTCCAGTGCAATGTATTTTATAAAATTATTGCTAAAGTGATTGTCGATATGCTGAAGCTGACCCTACCCTACATCATACATGAAAGTCAAGCTGGTTTCATCTCAAAAAGATGTTCCACCGATAATATCATTCTAGCTTCTGAGATTCTTAGGGATTTTAAGACAGTAAACAAAGGGTTCTATGAAAAACTAGACATTAAAAAAGCATTTGATTCTATATCCCGAGAATTTCTTATTAATCGTCTGAAGCAAAAGGGATTCCCTGATTTGTTCATTAAGTGGTTTAAAGGCTGATATGTTTATTTTTCAATATGCCTTAATGGCTCATTAGAGGGGTTTTTAAATCTTCTTTTGACCTTCAACAAGGGTGCCCGCTATCCCCACTTCTCTTCTGCATTGTTATGGTGGGCTATCATATTGCCTAATAAACCTCGCATCCAACAACACCTTCTTAGGGTTGACTTGCAATGGTATTTCTGTGAGTCATTTGATGTATGCATATAATCTGCTTATTTTTGGGGAAGCGTCTTACTATAATTCCAACTACTTGAAAACTTCCCTTCAGCTCTTTGCCAAAGCCTATGGGCTCCAGATAAATCCCAACAAAAGTTCTATTATGTTTTCTAATAATGTTTTTGATGATTCTGCTATTGCTGATATTTTGGGGAAGCGTCTTACTATTCAACTATGGGCATCTCATAGTTGAATAGCTTCATCACCTACTTAGGTATCCCGATTTCTATCAAGAGGCTTAATGTTTCTCACTTCGAACCCCTTCAGAGCAAAATTTCTTCTCTACTTGAGGGTCGGAAAGTAAAATTTATTTCTTTTGCAGGTCTCGTGCAATTCCTTAAATTCTCCATTGTTAATACTATTGCTTATTAGATACGAGGTTCTATAATTCCTAAAGGTTGCCGTAAGATCATTACTAAATTATATTCCAGATTTTTATTCCATAGTAACATTAATGAAAAGAAGCTTCATCTTACTGCTTGGAAGAACACTTCTAAACCTAAGTGTCTGGGTGGTTTTGACATTCCATCTATTGATTCCCTATATCATGCAACTTCATGTTCATTCATCTAGAGAATGCTTAAGCTAAACTCTCTCACTGCCACTTGGTTTAAAGCTAAATATGAATCCTTTTGGAATCCACCACCACAAAAGGCCTCGATAGCTTGGAAATTTATTTGCTCTACTGCTCTTAAGATTAAAGGCTCTATCTCTTTAGCAGTGACTCCCCATTGCAACTTTTCTTTGTTTTGGGACCCCTCGTGCAATGGCAAACCGATTTTTGAATTTGGCATTCCTTTGAGGATTTCATATAAATCTATTAATGCTTACATTCATAATGGGCAGTGGGTATTATCGATCTTGTCACCGGAATTTGTGCATGAGACTATTTGGGGCATTGGTATTTTGGAGCAACCGGCCTTGTCCTAGGAAGGCTCTTGCAATCCGAGCTTCAGGAACTATACCTCTTCTTTTTACTCTGATTTGGATGAAGTGAATTGGGCAAAGTATATCTGGCACAAAAATTATTCTCTTAGATTTTCTTTTTAATTATGCTTGGATGACCATGATTGAGAAGTTGATATGTGCTGATTTGCTTATTAAAAGGGGCATTCAAATGTAACATGGTTGCTCATTGTGTCAGTATGCTTCAAAAACTCATTTTCATTTGTTTTTTGAGTGTGATTTCTCTTACTTGGTTCTCTCTGCTTTGCTCCTTATTGGATTCCTTCCTATTTAGACTAAACATTATGCAAACATTTGACTTCCTTGAGAATTTTCAGCATTTTAATGTATTGGAGAAAAAATTATGCTACCATATTATTTGTTGCACTATATACTACCTCTGGAGAGAACAGAAAAATTGTAGGTTCTCTAATGTCAGGCCCTTGATTCTATTATAATGGCCATCGAACTTGTTATTCGTTATAAATTGAGATGGAAATTTTGAGAAAAAGCTAATGGAGCAATTTCACAGCCTTTTTCTGTGATTTTCTAGGATCTACTCTCCGGTCTTTTATTCAATTGGTTTGGGAGTTTTTTGGGTGCTAGACAATGATGAAAAGGCCTTCACATTGCCATTCCTTCTATGGATGGTCTTTTGGCAACCATGGAATTTCGATTAATGGCCTAGTATGCTTATGGCTAGAGCTCTGTTGCGATGTTCCTCGTGCTTCTGTCTCGTTTTGTTATGCTTTGCGGCAACTGTAGCTTTCTTATGAAAAAAACTTAAATCAAATAATTTATTTTAAAATGAGGGTAATATATTAATAAAGAATTAAAATTTACATTACAATAATTGAAAAACTATCTTAACCCAATCTATTCCTTCATTAAATGCATCTAATTGAAGAAAAAATGGTCAAAATATGAATTTGCAGTATTTCTTTTATCAAATCCTTTTGCAGGAAAAGCTTAGATCACTATTTTTTTTTTCTGTTTTTAAGAAATTTTATACTAAAAATAGTTTTAAAAAGCAATCCTAAACAAAACTTTAAATACATAGAACATAAAAAGACAATCAGAATATTCAACTTGCACAGCATAATCAGATTATCAAAAGATTATGTATAAGGTACAATAATGAATCAAACGATCATTTATAAATACTCTGGCAAAAGGCAACTCGAACGGTCAAAATTCTCTTACAATTCACAGCTAAGGTATGTGCTACAAAAATCCACTGCAGGAATTGACAGTGGACGAGGTAATAAATATAGCTAGCTCATTTGAAGCAGGAATGATTTCCCAGTTTGGGAAGAATTTACTGTAATGGAAATAGCTGCTCAGGCCATTTTGGGTATGCACGCTTATACAAGCTCATGCAGACAGTATCGTGCTGCTGAATAACACCATTGAAGACGCATTTCATAGCACCTGATACAAACATGAGAGAAACATTTTACCATTTCTATAAAGTTTTAATGCAAGAACTTATAGGGAAAAAAAAAAGATTTTTTTCATTGAAATGATGAGCATCGAAGTGTGAATATTTAACATGAACAGATACTTTAATATTTAGGTTTTGTTTGGGACAACATTTTAATTGTTTCTTAAACAACTTTTTAGCACAAAATTTTAAATTTTTTGTATTAGAAAGCTGTTTTAAGAAATAGTAAGAAAGCCGTCCCAAACGAAACCTTAGTGAAAGGAGAAACTATTCTATGCGGACGCCGAACATAGCTCTACATGTAGATACCAATCAGAATGAGCCACGTCATCGATACTGAGCCGCGGTACCGAACAATACTGAGCCCCGGTACCGCGGGGTACTGAGCCACGGGTTTAGGTATCCAGACAGGATTCGGCTTCCGCACAGAAAAACTTTTCTAGCGAAAGCCAGTGCAAGGTAGTACACTCTAATAAAAAATAGATTGATGAAAGAACTTTTTCAATGAAACGAAACTTAAGTATTTCTACAAAAAGTTTTAATGTAAGCACTTGAGCTCATTAAGGGTGCCAGCAAGCTTAGTTGACAAAATTTTTGTGAGTTGTGAAGGCATTCGGATTGCATCTCGCCTGCATCAGATATGTGCTTAGACACTTTATATTAAAGGTGTTTGTGAGGACTGGCTTCAGTGGAAAAATTATCAGTATTGATGATAGCATTTTACCATGAAGAAACATTTTATTACTTGTATAAAGTTTTAATGCAAGCAGTTGTAAGGAATTCTCTTAGAGGCAAAAAAAAAAAAGTATTGAGGAAAGCATTTTACCATGAGTTCCAACAGAATCCTTTATTAAGCCTCGGCGACCACATTTAGTGTACAACTCCACCGGCTGAAGACAAGAACGAAATCCATTTCGCTAAGATGTTCAAAATAAAGTAAAAGCAGTTTTATGATTACCTTGAACCATCTAACATCCTCAGGGTTGTGAAACATATATCGCACAGTAGCTTTCTTCTTTGAAACCCTCAGGGGATAGCTGCAACCAGAAGGTAACTAATCGTTTGAAATAGAAAATAAAAATATTGAAACAAAATTAAGCATTATATCTGCATATTCATGCCTTCAAACACAATGCTTAAACAAATTATCATTATGAACAAAAAGAAACAAAAATGCTGAATAAAAAAAAAACTTGACGATTTTATCATATCAAAGCAGAAAGGGCTTAAGTTAAATCCCTAGTTTTACTTAAAGACCTTTATCAGAAATCTGCCATAACCAGAATAGTCATTACACATCATTTGAAGAACAGCAATTTGTATAAAAAGCTAAAATCCCAACCCATCTACCAGTAAATCTGTGTTCATTAATATTTCAACCAATTCATTTGTTTCAAATAAGCCTTAGATATAAACAAGAATAATTACATGTCATCAGAGACTACGAAATAGAGTAACTTCAGTAATAAAAGACTTACCCAGTTAAAATAATTTTCTTTAGTATTATCCTGTAAGGATCAACACTTCTTAACGAACCCACAGCAGCAACTGCAGGTACATCTCCATGCTTGTTCTTCAAGACGACTAAGGGCATTGGAGGGAAACTGATGGGCGCATAAATGGAGGCAATTGAAAAACTGCCTGGGAGCAAAAATCTCTCCATTTTGTGCTTATCTGAATTGATATTATCAGAAGAAAACACCGGACTGTTAAAAAGTAAAAGGTCAGAAGACGTCAAGATGAGTGGTAACAAGGCACCAAACTTGTAATAACTGAGTTAAAATAAGGTAGTTACCTAGCAACAAATTGGCGAAATCCAACATGGAAAGTGAAGTTTTCCTTGGATTTGAGAGGAACATCATAGGAATCATGTTTCTTTATGCTGCAATTTGTAAATAAACTCAGCAATCCCAAAGCTAAATCACTTCAAATAACACATACTACACTTCAGAAACAAAGAAATCAATTTAAGAAATTCACGCATCTTCAACTAGATTAACATCTGCGTCTGGAGGCCAACAACTTTGCATGTATAACAATTTTTATGAACGTCACTACGCAAAACCTAGATATTGCATCTCCGGAACCTACAAATTAAGCTTCCCAGTACAAAACCAATTACGCTAGAAGGCTTATCACATAGAAAGGAATGCCTATTTGATGTCGCGTACATATCAGATATAATCTTACGATGGTCTTACACATCAACATTTCCAAGTATGATAGTTACCTTGTCGTAGAGCCACAATCAGGGTTTACCAGTTGGGGTGATGTTCACAATTTTGGCAGTACTTAGATGAGTTTCACAAATTTTAGTATATATCAAATAAAAGGTTAGAAAGAAATATATAGAGAGGAGGGGGCGGGGGGTGGGATTTTCTCCTCATAGGAGAAAAAAGGAGAAAAATAATTTAATTTTTGCATGTTCTAATCTTTAAACTTAGGATGATGCAGTTGATTGTGATCAATAACATATGAATAACATACAAATTGGGTTTCATCAATGTATGTGATAATGTAACAATTCATAAAATGAAATATACAATGGTCAATTGATGATCATGCAATATCAAAAAGCTCTTTTAAAAGTCTAGTTTTATACATATATTTCACAAATCAAAACCATCTAATACATGCAAGATCTCATCAACAATCAATGTATTTGATTCCAAGTCATTTAAAAGATTTTATATTGTGAAATTGGGATTATTTTTTCATAGAATTAGAGCCATAAATTCTAAAAATTTTGATGCAAGTAATTGGTGATTTAATTATCTTTATAAAAAAAATCTTGAAATTATGCATGCCACTAGTTTTGATGATGTTGAAGGGAATTATCAATTTTGATCTTGCAATTTGAAGGTTATAACTTCAATATCTAATAAAGAGAAGAATGAAAATTCTCCACCTAAATAGAGAAAAGTACAATCCATAGAGAGAGGGAGATGAACCTCTCTCCTACAAGGAGAACGACTATCATCCTAATTTTATTTCTACATCTAAAATTTAATGAAATCTTCACTCTTAAGGTCACATCGATGTGATCTACAAAAAAATATGGATCAAGTTTCATAACAATTTAAACATTCATCAAGCATGTGAGAAAAAAAAAAGAGGATAATTAGGTGACAGAGATGTCCTCTTAAAAGTTGACTTCACAAATATATTTCACCAATCAAAACTATTCAATATAATATCATGTAGCTATGCATTCAATACCAACCAATTTGAATGTCTCAACACTTTGAAATCAAAACTACATTCTCATGCAATCAAAGTCATCCATTGAAATTTATTGATGCATCTGATCAAATGATCAAATGCCCTTAAGAAGTATCAAATTCATTTGATGTTGAAGAAAATGGATCATTTTGATCTAGCATTTGAAGTTCATAACATCCAAATCTAACCGGGAAAAGTGATCTATTTCCTAGGAGGAGAAAAGTAAATGTTATATATATAATACAATAGAAAAGTTATACGTTAATAGTCACATAAGTACAACAAAATATAATAAAAATCAATTAAATAAAAATTTTTAGTGTAATTAAAAGTTAGTTATGATGAATATTTTAATACTGAAAAAGTTAGGCTATATAATGAACACATATAGGAATATTTGGAGTAAATCGACAGAATTGGAGGAATAATTTATCAAATATCACAAAATGATATTGTCCAAAAAATAGGCTGCAATAGAAAGAGGGGGGAATACGGTACTAATCAAAGGGGCACCAATTAAAATATAAATAAACTAATTTTAATTAAAAATTCAATATAAAGCAATTGCAAACCAACTATGAAGTATAGGCCTTCTTCATATTTGTGTACTTTTAAATTGAAAAGATTCTTAGTGGATAGTTTTACCCGCCTATTGGATCAATGAAAAAAGACAGAATTTTTAAATTTGAGAGTACATGGGTAAAGGAAAAAAAGCACAGCATATAAGGATGAGACGTCGAATCGAGTGAACTCAGCTGCAATCAACAATTTTAATTTTGACTTAGATATGTTTAAGTCGAATCAACATTAATTAATTTTGAGTTTATTTGAGTAAAATATTTTAATTTTATTAAATCTTTTTTAATCACAACAACAACAACAACAAGCCTTTATCCCACTATATGGGGTCGGCTACATGAATCCTTTTTCTTTATTGTGTCATGTTAAGAGTCAAATTCTCATCTAAATATAAAAAATAAAGGTCATTTCTAATATTTTCTAATCAAGTATTTTTAGGTCTAGGAGCTATTTTGCAGTCAAAGTACTAAATCAAACTTTGGATATAGTCTAGGACTACAACAGCCTCACAAATAGCCGAGGGGCTATTTTGACCCTTTGCTCATTATCTGAACTATAAAGGATAGCGATGATGATTCTTACACCTCTAAAATTCAGACCAAGATGGCAACCATGGTTTCAACCAAGGTTTTAAAAGGCGAAATCGAGAATCGAGGCTTTTTTTCTAAGTGAGGCGAGGCTTACGCCTCAAAATGAATAAAATAAATTAATTTAAAACTATAAATAATGATAAAAATTAACAAAATATTATGTCAACTATGAATTTGAAGATTTGTTTCAAGAAAATATTACTGGAATACAAGATATAAAATAAACTCACTTAAAAATAAAACATCCCCTTGGGATCAAACACGATGCAGGAAAAATAAAACAGGATGCAGTCAAAGTCATGGATCTCGTCGAAGTTTGTTGAACACGACGCAGGAAGAAACACGATGCAGGAAAAATAAAACAGGGAATGAAAGTTGTCGAAGTCGTCGAACTCGTCGAAGTTGAAATCGTCGAAGTCGTCGATGTTGTCGATGTCGTCGAAGTCGTCGATCTCGTCAAAGTCGAAGTTGAAGTCGTCGTTAGGGAAAGTCGGCGGGAGCAGGGATCACACGACCGAACGGGAGGAAGAGAACGAGTAGACGACGAGAGAAAATAGGGAATGCAAAAGAGGGAGCGGCGGAAATGCTTACAAAAAAGCCCTAATCTCTATTTACGCATGACTGGCGAACAAAAATATTCGAGGCAGCGCCTCATTGCCTCGATGCCTCGCGCCCTGAGGCGTACGCCTCAAATGAAAAAGGCGTACGTTTTGTCCGAACAACCGAGGCTTACGCCTTAGTTCGCCCACTTAACGCCTCGACTCGAGGCACGCCTCAAGGCTATCGCCTCAAACGCCTTTTAAATGGTTGGTTTCAACTGAAACAAATAAAAAATAAACAAGCAGCATAACATAAAATATCCATTGACAGGAGAAATGCCTACGCTGAGAAAGATGAGATTTGGTTTCATAGCTAAATGTAAAAATCATAGAAATGAAACATACCGGCCAATATAAGTACCTGAAGTGAAGGACAGACATTTTAGACTCATGCTGTAGAAGGCCACAAGCTACCATCGGAAACTTTTGGGACAAGTTACATATTTTAGATGCTAAATCAACAGCAACATCCTTCACATGAAGTCTCACATATGAACCAGCTTGTACGGAACTATCCACATCTCCTTGATCAATCTTTAGAGCTTTAGCAAGGACATGATTTTGGGTTTTGGTAAAATTATCAAAATTAAATATCCTTCCATATTCTTGTGGCAAAGATTCCTGTTAATGCATAAAAATTTATAAACAACATGATTATAAATTAAAAGATATAGGACAACAAACTTACTTGAGGATCCCACGAAGACGTCCTAAAGGACTTCAGACCTCTATACTTTGCAAAACGTTTTTTTGCTGGAATATCTAATGGAGTATCCACTTCATCTGGAAACTCTGGAATCCCAAAAAAAATCAATATCACATGAAGCTCAACTAAAAAAAAAAACAAATAGATAAGAAGAAAGATAAGCAAAGAGATACAACGAGAAGATATCTGAGATTTATAACTTAGCACCATGCATTAGCCGCCCCTAAATTTTTTTATCTAATACTATGATTTTATTACTCTCATAAGTCATAAGCAAATTGCAGAATATCGTCAAAGTAATAAAATAAAAGAAGGGGTGAATGCTCCTCAAATATATTACAAATTCGATAAAACTAAGCTAAAATGTTATAAATTGCACCGCTAAGAAAAAGGTAACCAGAGTTTTGGTAATACATTTTGTAGAAAACTCTAAAAAGGCTGGATGATGTCGCAGTTTAATAAAATGGCTTGAGCTAAAAATAGCAAATCACTCCAAAGTTTGATCCATAGAACCTCCACCGGGCATACATGCTGCTTGACAAGCATGACTAGTGACGAAAGCACCTTGGATAGGTATTTAAAGCTTGGTCTATAAAGCTAAAGTGTGCAGTGGGAAAAATACTAAAGGGGGGCAATATTTCAAGCAAAGCTGTGATCATGATTAATAAAAAAAAACCTTTTACATACATAATTGTTATTAAAAATAAAGATATTTGTTATAACCGCATTGACCGGATAGAACTACCGAGATATAAGTCCGAGGGAGAAAACAAAAAAAAAGAGTAAAATGTACTTAATTCTGAGGATTTATAACAGCAATAAATGATATTTGGTAATACATTTTGTAAGAAACCAGAGTTTTGGCAATACATTTTGTAGAAAACTCAAAAAAAGGCTGGATGATGTCGCAGTTTAATAAATTAGCTTGAGCTAAGAAGAAATAGCAAATCACTCCAAGGTTTGATCCATAGAACTTCCACTAGGCATACACGCTGCTTGACAAATCTGACTAGTGATGAAAGCACCTTGGATATGTATTTAAAGCTTGGTCTATAAAGATAAGTGTGCAGTAGGAAAAATACTAAAGGGGAGCAATATTTCAAGCAAAGTTTTCATCATTATTAATAAAAAAAAACCTTTTACATACATAATTGTATTAAAAAGAAAAAAGTTTTTAATATTCGCATTGACTGGATAGAACTACCTAGATATAGGTACCAGGGAGAACCAAAAAAAAAAAAAGTAAAATGTACTTAATTCTGAGGATTTATTACAACAATAAATGATATTTTCAATCTAATAGTTTTCTATGATAACACTCCCCCTTAAGTTGAAATTTCTTGAAATGTATATGATCTAGCTAGGTACAAATATTGGAAAAAAAAGGAGGACCCAAAACCATGGTAAAGATACCAACAAATTATTCTTCATTGAAGATGGATTTAGTGATGATAAGTTTTTTTGATAGGGTTACATCTCTAATGAAGTGGCAATCCACATCAATATGTTGATTCTTACATGGAAGATATAATTATTGGTAATTAGATTGTTGCCTAATTATCATAATTAAAAATCATTGTTTATGTTGAAGGGCATAAGCCAAATTCTTTGACAAGTGTTTTAATCCATGTTATTTTGTAAGTAAAATGAGTCATGACCCTACATTCATATTCAATATTAGATCTAGCTACAGTCTTCTACTTATCCAAGACACGAGATTTCTACTCATAAAAATTCAATAACATGAAGTAGACTTTTAATTCTCAACTGATTCAGTATAGTCATCATCAAAATAAACTTCAATCCTTAAATGATCGTATTTCTCATAAACTAGACATTTTCTCAAAGATTTCTTGGTATAACTTAAAATTCTTAGGACAACATTCCAATGTATTTGTTTTGAGTTTTACATATACTAACTATTTACACCAAGACCAAAAGATAAATAAGGTCAATGACTGTTAAATTAATAAGCTTGCCAACCATATGTCGAAAGTGGGAAACATGATCAAAGCATTCATCATTCTTGAATGATTGTAGCATAGTCAGCATCAAAATAAACTTCAATCCTTAAAAGATCATATTTCTCATAAACAAGATATTTTCTCAAAGATTTCTTAGTATAACTTAAAAATTCTTAGGACAACATTCCAATGTGTTTTCTTTGAGCTTTACATATATTAACTAATTACACCAAGACCAAAACGTATATAAGATTGAGGACAGTTAAATAACTATGCTTGTCAACCATATGTCGATGGTGAGAAACATGATCAAAAGCATTTATATTTATTTAATGATTGTAGAGTATAAACAGGGGAGTTAGCATGGCCGCACCTAACAATAACAATAAGTTTTTATCCCACTATGTGGATTCGGCTACATGAATATTTTTCCTTCATTGTGTTCTATCAAGAGTTAAATTCTCATTTAAATCTAATAAAAATGGATCATTTTTAACACTTTTTAACAAAGACCTTTTAGGTCCACCTCTACTCTTTTAACAAGGTCATCAGAATGCGGATATTTTCTATGACCGAGTCATCTAAGATGACTCTCTCTCATTTTATCTACCACCGCAGCTACTCCAACCTCATCTTACCTATTATATGCAAGATGTCAAGAAAGTTTCTTGGCCACCCCGAATCTTTAGTGACAAATGTCCTTTGAAGATACAATTTTATCTCATAAACGCTGGAAGAATTATTCCAAATTAGAAAAATATCATCAAGAAACATAATGAGGATCATTATGTCACATGAAGAGTGGCGAATGAAGATAGAAAGATCACCTGCGCTTCTCTAAAACCAATATGAACAAGAACTTTGCATGGTTTATCAAATCAAGGTGACTTTGTTTCAATCCGCATGTAGCTTTTCAAAGCATACAAATTTTGTTGTCCCCTCAAAAAACACCTAGAATTTTCTCCATATAACAACTTCAAATATATCCCCAATAGAGAAAAACATTGCTAACATCACTTTGGAGCAAAGTCCATCTTTGATTGATGGCAACAAATAGAATAAGGTGAATAAAATTAAGTTAAGCAATAAGGAAAAAAGTTTCAAAATAGTCTTGCCTATACATAGCCTTCAACCACCAATTGAGCTATGTACTAATTAATAGATCCATTTTGATAAAACTTAAAAGAGTATTGAACCAACGGCATGAAATGGGATTAAACCCAAAAGATGGTGTAATCATAAACAAGGTATGACGATCAACAATAACTCATTTTCAATATATATTGCATGCTTCCAATTTGGATCAAGCAGAGCTTCAATAACCAACAGAGGATCAATAATTGAAGTACATAGAGGAGGTAGTAGGTAGCCAATGTAGGTGGACGCCTACCTAAACAACTGGGATGAAATTAGACGAATTAAGAAGAGACAACAAACACTATAGTAATAAATATAAGTGAAATAGCAGCAAAAGATGTAGTAGGGTATGAATTAGGTGGGTACTAGAGAGATGTCTCATGAAAGGTAACATTAGAAAGGACAGAGTCATGGTGTAAATAGAACGTAACACCAATAATCTTTTTCAGTATAAAAATAGGTCATAAAGATACAATTAATGACACAAACTCATGAAAGCTGAGTTTATCATGTCATGAATGAAGGGAATGGGCAAAACAACACAACCAAAAACTTTAGAAGTAAGACGAGGAATAAGGCTGCAACAATAGACAACACATGATTGATTAAGAAACAATTTTTGAAAATGACATCGCTCCCAATACTGTCATGGAATATGCAAGTAAGACATTAATGTAGGATCACTATTGAGGAGATATTGATGCTTATCCAACTACCCTATTTTGTTATGTTGTATAAGGACATGATTGATATAAAATACCACAGTCAGCACAAAAAGAGCGAAATGAAGATTGTATGCATTTAAGGAATTCTCGGTATGAAGAGATTTAATTTTGGTAAAACTTAATTTTATTTCTTAATAAAAATACATGAATATAGATAAAACTTTCACTTATACTTCAAAATTAAACCCCAAAAAACCTAGTGCAGTTACCAGAAAAAGAAACAAAATAAGCAAAACCCAAATGAGCAGACACATGACTTGGAACCAACATATTTGAATAAACTAAGTCAATAGGTGCACTATTATGAAAGGATGTAGGCACAAGAAAGGAGACCCAACAGTGCTTACCATATTCAAAAGCCTCAGCATTTAAATTTTGAAACCCCAAAGATAGTGTGAGAGAGGATAACCTAGATAATAATACCAAATAACACAAGGCACTATAAGTAGCATTTGTGAGATAGTAAATGACTCCAACTTCAAGACCTTCACAAAACATCTTCTTCACGCTAAGATTCTAAAAGCACAATGAGAAGGATAAGTGGTATAATAGCTATGTGGGCTCCGAAAATTCGGCCTCGGCCTCCACTCGTTTTTCTTATTCAGCGAGGGAGTTTTAACGAACTAAGTTCCGAGGTAAATTTTGGAAGGCAGATGGGTTTGTAGATAAGACACTACCCAGAGATTTCGCCCTCATTTTACGAGGACTTTATGATCTGAGTTCTGGTTTCCTATAGGCGCAAGCCCCTACAGTTAATTACCCCTCCCGATCACGAGAGAGAACTTTCGATTAAGGCTAGTCGTCAATCAGATACGTATAGAATATACGTGCATATGGCATATAGTAGCAGCAATGAGTATGGGAATTTGAGAATGTTAGTTTGGTTGGGTTGAAATATTTGGAAAATTATGATATTTAAAAATTAGAAATTTCACCATCTTGCACTTTAAGCGATGGTGGGGGAAATGGATTCGATAGACCCAGATCAAGATCCCATGGTTCCGGTGTCCGGGCCATCGTGTCCTGGTCTACTTAGTCAGACGAGGTAGTCGACCCAACCATGACAAAAGGATCCTTGCGGCAGCCATAGGTTGCTTCGCTCCAAGGATACCTTGTAGACCGAGGTTGGAATGAGTGATGCCCCAAGATCTAACTTGGAAAGAATGTCAATCAATTACTCAAAAAATTTACCAGAGTTATCTAAAACTTCAATTAACCAGTCTTTCAAACATCTATAAAATTTAAAATATCAATATACAA